GTTCGCGAGGTCTTGACCCTCTGCAAAGCCAATTCCCCGGGGCTGGTTTTTCTATCTGAAACTAGACAAGCCTCAAGCAAGATGGAGAAGATCAAGTGGAGACTGCATATGAAAGGATTTGCTAGTGTGTCCAGTGATGGGTTAAGTGGGGGCCTGGCCCTCTTTTGGGACGAAAATCTCCAAGTGGCTGTCTTGGACTCTTGTGCACGGTATATATAGGCGTGTGTATTGTAGATGGGGCAAATGATAAAACATGGAGGATGACCTATGTGTATGGAGAACCACGGGTGGAGAACAGACACCGTATGTGGAGCGCTTTGTCAAACCTACGAGCCATATCCTCGGAGCCGTGGCTAGTGTGTGGGGATTTTAATGAAGCAATGTGGCAACATGAACACCTCTCCCTTACGCAACGGTCTGAGAATCAAATGCAACAGTTTAGGGATTGTCTACTGGCCTATGAGTTGATGGACTTGGGGTTCTCCGGGATCCCGTATACATATGATAATGGTTAAATGGGCAACATAAACGTTCGTGTTCGGTTGGATAGGGCGTGTGCTGATGAAGCTTGGAAGGATATGTTTCCCTTTACTCAGGTTGATCATCTCGCGTCGTCATGCTCGGACCACTGTCCACTGATGGTGCGGTTATCACATGTAGCCAACTAAAAATAAAACTACGGCCAGATATGAGATCATGTGGGAACGACATCCGGCGCTGGCTTCGGTTATTGCGGACCGGTGGGGGAAAAGCAAGCCTGGTGGTACTCTTGGGGCCGTCAGCGGCGCTCTAAAAGAGATGATGGTGAAGCTGCGTTCTTGGAGTAAGGAGAATTTTGGTCATGTCACGTCTGAAATTGGAAAACTCCGGCAACAGCTAGCTGATTTGCAGCTCCAAGACGTGGACAGATCCTTGATCAAACAGAAGATGTATCAGTTAGATGAACTGCTCTATAGAGAAGAGATGCTATGGTTACAACGCTCGAGGATCACGTGGTTAAAAGAGGGTGAACGTAATACTGCATATTTGCATCGACGGGCTGTGTGGCGGGCGCGTCGGAACTACATCCAGCGCCTGTGCCAAGCTAATGGTACATGGTGCTTAGTGCCGTCAGATATGGAGCGCATGGCGACCTCGTACTTTCAGGAAATTTTGACTAAGGACCCGACACTAACACCTACGGGTGTGCTCGACGGTATAGCTCCTAAAGTGACACAGGGCATGAATGATATGTTGTGTGCGCCCTTCTCAGAAGAGGAAGTTTCTAATGCCTTGTTTCAGATCGGTCCAATCAAAGCACCTGGTACGGATGGCCTGACGGCTAGGTTTTTCCAGCGCAACTGGGCTGTTTTGAAGACGGAGATTATAGCTGCGGTGTTGGATTTCTTTCAAGTCAGGTGTAATGTCTGAGGGAGTGAACGATGTAGCCATCGTTCTTATTCCAAAGATTCCTCACCCAAAGGAACTAAAGGACTTCAGACCGATAAGTCTTTGTAACGTGTTGTATAAAATCGTGTCTAAGTGCTTGGTCAATCGTCTGCAACCCTTGTTGGGAGAATTGATCTCAGAGAATCAAAGTGCATTCATTCCTGGGAGACTTATTTCTGATAATTCCATCATAGCTTTTCGAGTGCATCCATCATATACAAACTATGAAAACAAACAGTCCTGCAGCTTGTGCTTACAAGTTGGATCTCTCGAAAGCTTATGATCGTGTGGATTGGGAGTTTTTGGAGCAAGCCCTAATTAAATGGGGGTTCTCGCTGGAGTGGATTTCGTGGATAATGGCTTGTGTTAAGTCTGTCAAATACTCCGTCAAGTTCAATGGGAAGTTACTTGAATCGTTTACCCCATCTCGAGGGCTAAGGCAAGGTGACCCCCTCTCCCCTTCCTCTTCCTGTTTATAGCTGATGCTTTGTCCTCTCTGTTATCTAAGTCAGTTAATGAGGGAGATCTGAAGGGGGTTTCGATCTGTCGTGGAGCACCAGTCATATCTCATCTACTGTTCGCAGATGATACTATGTTATTGTTTGAAGCGACGAGCCACCAAGCGACCATTGTCAAAGGTCCGTTGAACACTTATTCCAGAACGATGGGTCAACTTATCAACCCCGAAAAGTGTTCCATCCTTTTTTCAGACAATTGTGTTGAGTCGGTGGCGGAGGAGATGAAGGGTATTTTGGAGGTGACACAGCAAGTGTTTGAGCCTAAGTACCTGGGCTTACCTGTATTGGAAGGAAGAGTACATAAAGGGCAATTTGAGACCGTGCAGGGCAGGCTTAGGAAAAGGCTGGTTGATTGGAGTGAACAATATGTGTCATCGGGTAATAAGGAAATTCTAATAAAGGCGGTGGCGCAAACATTACCAACTTATGTGATGAGTGGCTTCCGCCTCCCGGCGTCTATGTGCGATGATTTAACAAGGATGATGAGATAATATTGGTGGGGAGTGGAGAATGGCAAGAGAAAGATCGCCTGGCTCAGTTGGGCGAAGATGACCCTACCCAAGGATATGGGGGGCATGGGGTTTAGAGACATGCGGGCATTCAACCAGGCATTACTCGCGAAACAGGCTTGGAGGTTACTGCATAACCCGGACAGTCTCTGCGCTCGCCTCCTACGGGCGAAATACTACCCGAACGGTAATCTCTTGGACACGATATTCCCGTCTAGCTCTTCTGCAGTCTGGAAAGGAATTACTCATGGCTTGGATCTGCTGAAGAAGGGGCTGATCTGGAGGGTGGGGAATGGCACGATGATTAAAACATGGAGGGATGCATGGATACCCAGGAGACATGATTTCAAACCTATAACCCCAAAAGGAAATTGCAGATACAACTGGGTAGCTAATTTTCTGGAAGAGTCGGGAGCCTGGAATGTGAACAGGCTACGGAAATATTTTTGGGAGATGGATGTGTGTGAAATATTGAAGATTCAGACTTCGCCAAGAGGTGGGCAAGACTTTTTGGCATGGTTTCCAGAGAAGAGTGGATGCTTTACGGTTAGAAGCGTTTATCGTCTCGCTTCTTCAGAAGGGCAGGCAGGACAGGGGTCGTCTAGCGCCGCTCCTGATGGGCACCAGTCGATCTGGCGGCTTATTTGGAACGCAAGCTTGCCCCTGAAGATGCGGATATTTGCCTGGAAAGTGGTGTCCGGGGCGTTAGCCACAATACATGCAAGAAATACAGACACATTGCTACCCGTGATACATTCCCGTTGTGTGGTTCGGACAAGGAGTCCAGCTTCCATGCTCTTATCACATGTGGCCATGCATAGGCGCTGTGGACTCAAATGCGCCAGGTTTGGGCTTTGCCAGATAACCAGGTGCTGAAGGACACGGGGAAGGATTGGCTCCTTAACATCTTGCTA